AAGGAAAAAAAAAAAAAAAAAAAAAAAAAAAAAAAAAAAAAAAAAAAAAAACGGGATATGCAATGTTTCACTCAACATAATATATATTCATAGAAAAAAGACGTAGGTAAATACATCAAGAAGTAAATAGTGGGCATCTCTAGGTGCTAGAATTCTAGACAATGGCATTTTTTTTCTTTAAATTCTTTGGTACTTCCTAAATTTTTTTCAATGACCATGTTTTAGCTGTATGATCATTAAAAAGTACTAAAATCAGTATACATAATAATTACGAATACATAATGTATTAAGAATATACACAAAATTTTGTAGCAGTATTTACAACTAAGTGATAAGACTCTAGGTGATATTGTTTGCTTTTCACAAGTCCATATTACTTTTCTGATAAAAGAAAAGACTAACCTCATTAAAAGAAAAAGTGTAAGAAAAATTTAAAAATTTTGAGTCATTTAATACTTAATTAATTCATTTTAGAATGAGGAAAGGTAAATACTGTGGAAAAGAATGCCACCAATGCTATTGTGGTAAGGAAAATGTATCAAATATCTTTTCCTTTACGGTATAATTTCTATTCTCTTCTATTCATATCTTCCTCATAAAAACATATCCATTATTAAATTTGAAGTTTTAAAATTGGCTCTGTGAGATCATGCCCATTTTATACTTTAAATTCCATTCCCCAGGACTTCACTGAAATATGTTGCTAAAATGTTCACTCCCCCACTATGGCCAGATGTGTCAGTTGAATACTCTAAAAAGATTTGATTGCAGGTTTGGAAAGACTTCTTTGTTTCACTGTATTCAAAGATGCTGATGTTAAAAGTTTTCTTTTTTTTGTTTGTTTTTTTGGTTTTTTCGTTTTTCTGCTCTCTAGCTTTTTGGCTTGTTAGTCCATGAAACTTTTGGTCTTGCAATTCCTCTACATCTGAGAAGGACTTGAAAAAGTCATGACTGGAATAAACAAACAAGCATAAATTCTCACCCTACTCTATCCTAAAGCATTTATATTGCAAATGTAACATGCCGAATAACATTTTAGTTGTAGCATTCTATTAAAATTGGGGCAGATGTCTTAGGATCACTTAATGGCTGTCTATAAATGTCATATTCCAAAAAAAGTAAGAACTATTGACAAAAGTGAGGGAGAAAGAGCTCTGAAATTCACATGGCTGCATTCATCCCCATATATTTTTATATATGGCAATATAATGGTGGTTTCCAGCTAACCCTAATCATTTTTACTCCTGGTTGTATCCTTCCAAAGTCCTCCTCTATGTCCTTTTTTTTTTTTTTGCACCTCTAAATGAAATGCAGCCGAGTAATAGAGAAGAAAAAACAGCCAAAAAGTACCCCTAACAATAGAACAGTTTTTTAAACTGATTTAGTCTTAAAATTTCAAAGGCCTTGGTTTGTCCTCAGAGGCCTAACCAGTATATTTGCATGTGCTTGGGTACAATAAGGTATTTAACCTTCAGGGGTCTGTGCCAGTTTGAAAATGAATTATCAAAACCCAAACTTAGCTTTTTGATCTCACTTCTTGTTCAACAGAGCAGGAGGTAAAAAAATATTTGAGAGAAAGAATCATTTTTGGAAGTCTTCGGTAATTTTGAGAAGTGAGAAGGAAGAAGGATGGTAACCAACCATGTATGGTAGGCAGGGCAGATAACAAATCCAGATTGTACATAGTTTTATGATCATGAGCATAAAGACAAAAATAATGCCTAATGTAGGACAGTTTCCTTGAACTTTCTCCAGGGCCACAATATCTCACCAATAACTTATTTGCACATGATATAAAAAAATTAGAGACCCTTTGAGGATAGACTATTTTGGAAATACACTTTGACTACCAAGTCACCCACCCCCATGCTTGTCCTCCCTGGAAAATAACTAGATATGGGCAGAATTTAATGAGAAAGTGAAGCTCTCTGAACATCTGCTGGTTGTGAATGCTGCCCAATTCATGAATAGTTCTTTGCTCAAATAAACTTTGTTAAATTCATTTTGTCTAAAGCCATGATTCAAGTCATGTAAGCAGGGCAAAACCTCTGCTGCCTCTTTGCTTCTGCTGGATGGAGCAGAACAGACAAATATGCACAGGCTCTGGCAGAAGGGCAGGAGTTGTAAATACGAATTTCCTAGCGATGTTATGAAACAATGTCAGAATTATTTGAATTGCCAAGAGTGAGAAGAAAAATCCCTTCTTCCTCTTCTTGTGGCAGATGATCAGCCTTTCAACTTCAAAATCAAAGTACAATCTGCCTCTACAGATATAAAAATCTCGAATTCTTCCCTGGTGGTATTTGTAACAGGGCTTCTTAGCAGTTTTTTCCAAGCCTTTTATAAATATGGAGATATGGTGCTTTATAATCCTGACATTATAAAAAGACTTAACTCTGTGCTAGTAGTTGTTGCCTAAACCAATAATGCCTGTACAGTCAAGATGTAATATTTAAGCTTCCAAGTTATTACATAATGGGCCAGAATGACCATATAAGAACTAGCTTAGTATTCATTTGACTATATTGGAAAAGAAGATTTCCTTTTTACGTAAGTAGTTTAATCTTGATTAATATTAATAGAGAATTGCATACAAAACCATTTCATAGTCTGGAGAATAAAGAAATAGTATAGTTTTCAAATAGGAAGTATTCACTATTTGCCTAAATAATTAATTTGGTAGGTAACTTAACTGAGCATATATTTAAAGGGTAAGATTGATAAAGGAATGAAATGTAGGTAGATTTTCATTCTAGTAAAAGGGAAAAATGTATTTTTTTCTAAAGGAAATTTACTTTTTAATAATTTAACCAAGAAACAGCATAAAATCTTAATATATGTTTACTTTTGCTTTTTATTTTTAAAGAAATATTTGCCTTCCATGGGTATAAAAAATTTACTACAAATATGCTTGGTAAAATAATAACCTAAATTATATTTTCATGGGTATTGGTAATGAAAACAATGGTAGAAAGTTGACGAGTAAACTTTAGTGCAGAATGCATAACAGGTTCTAGCCATAACAGCTTCGTTACATATTGAATATTTTGAAACTGCAGAGAATAAGCAGGAAGATGAACTAAATTTTCATAAATATCTGTTTAATGTTGATAATATAGAGAAAAATAAAACGAACACTTTATGCTTTCTACATTTCCATACATTTTTCAGGACCTGGCTATATGACTTGTACAAGTTGGAAATGACACAATTTCTGCTGCATGAAAATGAATATATCTATTGATGTTTAATAAAAAGCAGCTAAAGGGAGACAAATCCAGTACCCTTTTGAAGGACAGAACTTTCACATGACCCTTTCATAGAGAAACAGGTCAGTGTTGACAGTGCACATAATGGTGCATCATTCAGTGAAAGGAGAAATTCACAGGCTCAACAAAAATCCATCTCAAAGTGGGGGTTCTAGTATTTCCATAGAATCGATGCAAAATAAAAATAGTTCTCTCTTCCTTTTGTTTGCAAACTGGAATGACTGGTTAATCTAGGTCATCACTGTCCTCCTTTCATGGCACCCTCTCATGAAAAAAGATTTCGTTTTTCACTCAGCCTTTCGATTCCCTTCTACATCTGCCTGCCATGTTTGCCAACAAAACAATTGAGATTCACCAGTTCCGATAAGTGAAACACTCTAAACAACTGAGCTCTATTTCTAAATGGAAACTATTTCCAAAGCTTCCTTTCCCAGGAACATTTTATTTTTTATTTATCCTTAATTGATTTCCTCTTATGTTCTTGAATTGAATTTTAGTTAAAACTAAATTTGCCAATATTTCAGTAGGAGCTCTTTGCTACATCATTACTTAATGTTTCAAGACAGAATTCGTAGTTTAAAAGCAAGAGAAAATGAAAACCCAGAACTTACCTCATCTGATCCTTTCTTTTCTCCTGGTTTGGAAGGTGATCCACTGGTTTTTTCATTGACATGCTATAAAATATTTCAAAAAGATAATGTTTAATAAAGGGAAATAATATAAGATAATAGTGATGTTAATCCCAAAAAGCTAAATTCATAAACTTTAAAATGAGGACCCCTCTAATCAGTCTCCTGAGAAATTCTGCATCAATGTAGGTGGCTTTCAAAAATCAAGGGATGCTACAGACATTCATTTGGGATCCAGAAAGTCAGTCTGTAATTAACCAGATGCAGAGCTGATGGTGATGCCAAGGCGGCATGTCGTCTCCTCCAAAATGCCTCATGGGATTTTAAAGCCCAAATTGCTAGAATGGGAGACATCTGATTCATCTGATGAGATCTCTAAGGACCATGTTGTGTCTGAAGCCATACTTAAAAGCTTCCATTCAGCATGGACTCAAGGGTCCTCCACAGACTTCCAAGTCACCCATCACTTTCCAACAGCTTGTGAATTACCTATAGTTCTTTCATCTGAGTATTCACCAGTGCAGAAAGGTAAAACTTAAAGGGGAAAGACCACACCTAAAATTTCTCCTACTTATTATGGCTTTAGGATTTTATTACACCTAAAAGCAGAATTATTTTTCTTAATATGACTCTGGGGATGAATGCAAGTATTTTTACATGGTGCATAAAAGCTTCAAGTAGATTACACGCTCATTTGACTGGGTGAAAGATAAAATAAGCCATAAGTTTGCTGAATTTTTTTTTTTTTGAGAAATAATAAAAAAAAGTTCCTAAATAGGGGTACAAAGAAATATCTCATTTCTTACACACTGTGGGATGTGTAAGAAAATGGGAAATAGGAACCAAATATGAGAAAATAAAAGCTCATCACTGGATTTAATGCCAGTCATCCTAGGTTAAGCCAAAATATAAAATACTATTATGCTCCCTAGAGCAGAATCACAACCTGGATACATAGGTCAATACAATTATTTGAATTAAGAAGAGAGATAATAGCAGTAATAGTAATAGTAGTAATTCATATCATTATTATTTACAAGGCACTTTCATATACATTCTTATTTGTTACAAAAAAGAGGCTCATGCAGTTTTAAGAATCAGAAAACTAAGAATAATAGTTACTTGGTGTTTCTCACAAGAACATGTAACTAGTAAAAGGGAAAAGTTCACAAAGCACGTTTTCTAACTTAAAATTGATTGTTTGCCACTATACCATGCTAAATGGAATTAGTTAATATTCCCTTTAATCATATCAACGGGTATGCTACTAAAAAACGGCCAAGGAATGCCAGAACATGTGGCTGAAATCTTTCCTTAATAGTGCTTTGTATGAACAACTAGCAATACATCACTTTTATGAATGTATAATTCTTCCCAGGAAGAAACAGTCTCATGGATTAGTGATTGGAATCCACCAAAAAGCAGCCAGGCTTCAATAGCCTGGTGAATGAAATCCCCTACAGGGCTTGCTTTCTTATATGTCCTAGCCAAGGTTTTGTTTGTCCATATTTGAGGGCAATCAGTATTGAGTGATTAGTGAATCTTGGGGGAAAAAGGAACCATTTTAAAGCCCACATATCTATTAGTGCTGGATGGTAATCGATAAATATTACAATAAGTAGTGAGCAAAAGATCTGTAAAGGCCAGAGTGGCGGGAAAACATTATCTCTTTTAAAGCAAATAAGAAAGCCATTAGCCTGAGGTTGTTGCTGTATTTAGAACCCTTCCATAAGCAAATTGGAACTTAACTTGGAGGCATTTCTTGTAACTGATTTAAAATAAAGCAAAACAAAACAAAACAAATGAGCCTCAGACAATCACAAACAGCCAACCAGCTGATTGGTCCTATAACTAGGAACCTCCCACAGACCATACCCAAATAAGGCAAACACCTAGCTGTAACAGTCAAGCTATTTCTTTACATCCACATTCAGCTTATAAAAGCTTGCTGCTCATGCTGCTGAAGCAGAGATCTCTGAACCTCTCCCAAGTTTAAGTGCTGCTCAATTAATGAACCATCTTCGTTCAGATAAAACTCTGCTAAATTTATTTTGCCTAAAGTTTTTTTTTAATATCTCTAAAAAATTATTCAACATTTGGAGATAGTATTTGATAAGGACAGATCTACAAAGACAGAGGTTTACCAAATCTGTCTACTTCCAGAACCGATCATTTTAGAACCATAAAATCACATTCATTTATTATCTGCAATTCCATATTTTGTTCAGATTAGATAAAATAAATAACAGCAACAATATCTTTTACTAAGTATTTCACTAGTGTTTCCTGTTTTGAGTGCCTTATTGACTTCTCAGGAGGTATTGTTATTCCATTTTACAAATGCAAAAAGTTAAAACGGCAACTTGTTCTTGCCTTTTTTGTTTGTTTGTTTTTGCTCTTGCAAGTTTCCATGCTCTCTACCCGGTCCCAGTCTGCTTCCTCTTCATGTGGCAAACACGTATCATGATTTATTCTCCCACACTAAATGTGTATACAGCCTTTTCTTCCTTAAGATATAGGTATATAGAAAATTTCTTCTACAAAATTTGTAAAAATTGTTTCCTGGTGGTGCTTCAAAATTATAGCACTCAGGGCCGACCCCGTGGCTCACTCGGGAGAGTGCGGCACTGGGAGCGCCGAGGCCGCGGGTTCGGATCCTATATAGGGATGGCTGGTGCACTCACTGGCTGAGCACAGTGCAGGCGACACCAAGCCATGGGTTACGATCCCCTTACTGGTCACACACACACACAAAAAATTATAGCACTCAACATTAAGCAACATCATCAGTTGCTTCCATTGAAATGCTCAAAATCCCTCAAAATTATGAAGGTTCCAAACAATAGTTTGGGAGGAATATACATAATGAATGATTTTAAAATGTTTAGTTATAATGACAATTTAAAAATTATATATTGTAAGTATTGGTATTTTGTGATTTCCAAAGAAATATTTGCTCTTAATAGAAAGCTTTTCACAATACACAAAAGTATAATGACATAAATAAAAATCACATATTCAAATGCAAACTTTTTTTTAGAACTTCATGAATTACATTTTTCATGTTTTTTAACTTAGCTTTTGATTATAAATTTTTTTCCCAGAAAAACATTCAGAAAAAGTGAAAGAATAATACAAAGAATGTCCATCATTCCACCGCTTAGACTCAACAACTATTGTTGCTGTATTTTGCCATGTTTGCATATACAGAGAGAGAAGGAGAGATCTATATATACCTGTATTTGAAAGTTAATTGCAGACATCCTGAAACTTTAACTCTAAACATTTCACCATGTATCTCCTTAAATTGAGTACATTTCCCCATATAAACCTAACACCGTTATCACCCTAGGAAATTAAGAAGAATTCCCTAATACCATTCAATTTCTAGTAATTAGCAACTTTATAAATTAACCATTGCCCTGTTCATTTCCTGGGGCTTATTCAATATTCAGCAGTCCACTAATGATGTAAAAACCAGTTATACCTTTTCATGGAGAGAGTTTCAAAATGTCTGATTTTTTAATTCATGGAATAATTGAGCATTTTTCATTTAACTGACTGGGTGGAATGAAATACTTGGGAATGATATATGTCAAATTCAGTCCAGCTCAAGAACCTACAGTGAGTCTTCCTAAGAGCAAAGATAGAAAAGTTTGCTAACCCTGGCTACATGTACCCAGTGGGGTAGGGTGAGGTGAGAAGAGCATGGAGCAGAGAAGGAGTGATAGCTCAAGAAAGAGAACTGAACACAAAACTAATGAATCCTATATGAGGGAAAGGCAGCTAACACCTCCTAAGTACCTACCCTGTGCTATGCCCAGGGCTAGGCATTTCCCCATGTGGTCTCCTTGGCTCCCCAGAGCAACTCCACAGGACATACACTGTCACCTTGTTTTATGGATAAGGAAACTGAGGATCTGAAAGGTGATGTCCTCCTTGGTCAGACCAGTCAGGGTTACAGTATGTGGGCCAGAGACTAGGGTTTTCTAGATCAAGGTAAAAGCTTGCTGGGATCTGTGATTCTCATCAAGAAAGTCTTTAGAGCAATGCAGTGCCCTAAAATGAAAACAAAACATACAAACAAAAAAACTAACAAAAAGCAACAAAAACAAACAAAACAAAACAAAACAAAAACCTTTCTTATTCTGAAACTGGTTTGTTTTATAAAATTTGTCAAACACACAATACTTATGAATTCCATACTGTATTAGCTGGAGAGGAGGCGACAGACAGCAAAAGTAGGACAGAATGCCAGCCCCAAAGCAGTAAAGAATTTCACTGGGGCCTCAGATGACAGGAAACTCCACGAGGGCTAAGATGAAGAATACAGGTGGTTTGTGCTGCAGGAGATGAGGCAGGGAAAAAATCAGATAAAGGGCTTTCCTGTCTTCCCACAAGAGGAAATAATTTTCCAAACTGTTTCACCCTAGGTATCATCGCATATTTAGCAAGTCGTGCTGTCCTTTGTCCTCATCCTAGGAGGCAGCACTCATATGAGGCCACAGAGAACCCATAAACCTGTGAGGATAACAATAAGAGCAAAGAGCAATAGGCTTGGAGCCTGAGCTCTCACCCAGCTACAGACTTCTGCTAGTGCGAGGCCTTGGCTTTGGGGCATTTGTGCACCTTCCCTATTTTTACCCAGATATACACAGATACACAGGCATGGTACGTGTCACACCAAATAGGATAAAACAAACTTCTACACATATAACAGGAGAAAGAAGACAGAAAAACAGCCTCTGACAGTCTAAGTCTAGCTTGAAAAGAATGCCTGATGACAATGTGCTTCTGAAATGCTTTATTTTTATTTTTATTTTTTATTTTAAAGGTATAGCGTTTCTTCTAGAGGGAGACAGAAACATTCTAAGATAAAATTGTGGTGATGGTTGCACCATCCTGTGAATATACTAAAAAATATTGTATTGTATGCTTGAATGGGTGAATGATATGAATTGTGAGTTACAGCTGAGTAAAGTTGCTGAAGAAAACGGTAAAGGTTATTTGAAAACTTGAAAATTTTCTTCTTCAACTTGGAGACA